GAGAGAACAGCTCTGAGAGAACTGTGACTCACCCAAGCAGCTGCATGGGGAGGAGTGGGGAATCAAACCTGGTTCTCCCAGATTAGAGTCCGCACACTTAACCACTACACCAAACTGGCTCTCAGAGTACGGTTGCCAGCTCAGGGTTGGGAAACACCTGGAGATTCTGGGGGGTGGAGCCTGGGGAGGGCGGGGCTTGGGGAGGGGAGGGACCTCAGCAGGGTATGTTGCCATAGAGTCCACCCTCCAAAGCAGCCGTTTTCTCCAGGGAAACTGATCTGGGTCATCGGGAGATCAACTGTCATGGCGGGAGGGATCCATGCCCCACCTGGAGGTTGGCAACCTGCAGAGGCAGACTTCCGACCGGCCTGCTTCCACAATTCCTTTCTAGGCCCCTCCCCGCCTTCTTACTTTGCGATCTGACCCTGGTTATTGTGGGTCGGATTGGAGCAGAAGAGGGTGCAGGACTTCCGTACCGCCGCCAGGAACGCGGTGGCGGAATCGGCCCTCACGTCGTCGATCTTCCGGGCCTCGTGGCTCTTCCGCTTCAGGTGCCACTGGTGGTCCTCGAAGCACCGCGTGCAGAGGAACACCTCGCATTCGGAGCACCAGAACTCCGCTTCCCCTTTGCAACGGGAGCACACCAAGCCCTCGCCGGCCACTATCTTCCGGTAGGTGTTCAGGTTGGCCTGCAGGTGGGTGAAGAGGAGGTTGTCCTGGGAGACGGGGACAGCAACCTGGCAGACCGGACAGTGGCCGACGGGCTTGGATTCCTGGATGCATTCAGAGCAGAGGGTGTGAAGGCAGGCGAGGAGTTTGGGGTTCTGGGCCTCTCTCTGGCACTTCCCACACAACAGGAACCGGAATTCTTCCTCCATTCCCTAAAGAAAAGTGAGGAAGAGGGTTAGCGACTTTCCTGGGACAAACTAGGACCCGATGCTACGTGGCGGAAAGTTTTCCATCTTTTGTTTTGGAATGCTATATTTTTTCCCACGGAAGAGTGCTCCGCCTCACATGTGTAACTGCAGCAGTGGCGGAAAGCGTCCTGTTGCGTCACAGCCGACTTAAGGCAACCCCGTTGGGTTTTCAAGGCAAGAGATGTGCAGAGTGTTGGAAGTACGTGTGTTAAAAGGGAAAGGTTCCCTTGCTCGAAAGCCAGTCGAATCCGACTCTAGGGTTGCGGTCAATGCTCCCTCTAAGCTGTGGAGTCTTGTGAGCCAAAATTCTACTTTGTGAGCTGCTGGCATTAAAGTGGTGAGCAAGCCATTTGGCGACTGCATAAATTAGTTTGCTCTGGAGTCCTCCTTCCTGAGCAAAGACAAAAATGGGTGAGCCGGAGGCTAAAAAACTGTGAAATATGAAATTCTCCCCACAAACATGAATTATCACAGATGGTTGTTCTTATAACGCATCGCTCACTCTAAGAATCTGGACAGTTGAATAAGTCTACATCTACTGAACAGTCAATAACACTAATCAATGGTGCAAACGTCCAGAAGAGACATTAGATAAAATGTTGAGTAAAGTATAGTAAATAAGATCATTTAGATTTTAACCAGGGTTCCTTAAAGTTCATAGTTTAACCACTATACATTCATTTACTGTATACCCCTTGGATGCTTTTGAGTTTGTGTTGTTTCTTTCTCTGCATTTGAATGTACTTTTAAGTAGAGGGAACCCTGGTTGCGGTGCTCATCTCCGTTTCAAAGCCGAAGAACCAGCGCTGTTCGAAGACGTTTCCGTGGTCATGTGGCCGGCATGACTAAACACCGAGGCGCACGGAACGCTGTTCCCTTCCCACCGAAGCGGTACCTATTTATCTACTTGCAATTTCTTGCTTTCGAACGGCTAGGTTGGCAGGAGCTGGAAGTAGAGACGGGAGCTCACTCCGTCATGCGGCACACTCGGGTCTCGAACTGCTGAACTACCGACCTTCCACAGCCTGCAGTTCAGTGTCTTAACCACTTGAGCCACCGCAGCGTAACGTGTGTTACAAGGTCTAAAATTCAGTCATTATAGGGTTAATGTGTGTTTACCTTGTGTACTATGCTTTAGACTGGCAGAGAACCAATGGGAAGGAAGTCGGAGAAACTGAAGCCTATTTACTAACAATCATTGGTTAATGCATTCCAGTGATTTCTTTCTAGGGATCAAGAAGGAAGAAGCATCCCCATTATTGTAGACCGGTGTGGTCAAAGTGTAAAGGTGTAGTCTTAGGCGTCTCTGTTGTTTTGTGGATTACCTGTGAACCCTTCCCTTAGAAATAAAAAGGTTTTTACATAGAAGAAAATGCCTCCTCTCCAGGGAAGCAAAGATCCATTGCAATCCCTGAATATCTAACTACTTTGCCAATTTTTCCAACACAGAGGAGGCTTGCCGTTGCCTGCCTCTGCGTAGCGACCCTGGACTTCCTTAGTGGTCTCCTGGTCCAACTACAAACCAGGGCCAATCCTGCTTAGCTTCCGAGATCTGATGAAATCAGGCCAGTCTGGGCCATCCAGGTCGGGGCACATGTAACTATAGCATCTGTATCTACAGTTGTTGGTGCTGCGGTGGCTCAAGTGGTTAAGACGCTGAACTGGAGGCTGTGGAAGGACTGTAGTTCAGCAGTTCGAGACCCGAGTGTGCCGCGTGACGGAGGGAGCTCCCGTCTCTAGTTCCAGCTCCTGCCAACCTAGCAGTTCGAAAGCAAGAAATTGCAAGTAGATAAATAGGTACCACTTCGGTGGGAAGGTGACAGTGTTCCGTGCGCCTTGGTGTTTAGTCATGCCGGCCACATGACCACGGAAACGTCTTTGGACAACGCTGGCTCTTCGGCTTTGAAACGGAGATGAGCACCGCAACCCTAGAGTCGGATTCGACTGGCTTTCGAGCAAGGGAACCTTTACCTTTATCTACAGTTGTTATGCCGCAACTCAATCATGTTAGGTGGGAGACAGAGCATTGAGAAACCTCATCTACAGCTTCTATAGAAATGTACGATCCTAAATGGCTTGGGCCAGGCACCTGAAGGACAGTCTCCTCCCATACTATCTAACTTGCCAGTTAAGATCTATCTCATCCGCTCTGCTCATCGGCTCTCCGTGCCCCTGCCTTCAGAGTTGAGGCAAGTGGCAACTAGAGACAGGGCCTTTTCTGTGTTGGCACCTCGTTTCTGGACACGTTCAACGCAGAAACATCCCAGTCATGCTTCCTGCAGGAATTTCAATCCGTGGAGCACCTAGAAGAGCCAGTTTGGTGTAGTGGTTAAGAGCGTGAAGCGTAACCTGGGAGAACCAGGTTTGATCCCCCATGACCCTGGGTCAGTCACAAGTTCTCTCAGAGCTGTTCTCTCAAGGGCAGTCCTCGAAAGAGCTCTCTCAGCCCCACCTGCCTCACAGGGTGTCTGTCGTGGGGAGGGGAAGGGAAAGGAGATTGTAAGCCGCTCTGAGACTCCGAGTGAAGGGCGGGGTATAAATCCAATCTCTGCTTCTTTTTCTTTTAGAAGGCAAACTCAGGGCCAAACTCAGTGGTGAACCAAAGAACTCCCCCCCCCCCCAGCAAGAGCTTTTCACTCGGACAACTTCTAGTTCAAAGTGGGCTGCTTAGTTCTGTTGGAGTGAGCGACTCGGCATGCCTGGACATCGGAGGGGGGGGAATCTATATCACTCAAGGGTGTAAGGAGCTGCGGTGGCTCAAGTGGTTCAGGCGCTGAACTGCAGGCTGTGGAAGGTCGGTCGTTCAGCAGTTCGAGACCTGAGTGTGCCGCATGACGGAGTGAGCTCCCATCTCTAGTTCCAGCTCCTGCCAACCTAGCAGTTCGAAAGCAAGAAATTGCAAGTAGATAAATAGGGACCCCTTCGGTGGGAAGGGAACAGCGTTCCGTGCACCTTGGTGTTTAGTCATGCCGGCCACATGACCGCGGAAACGTCTTCGGACAGCGTTGGCTCTTCGGCTTTCAAACGGAGATGAGCACCGCAACCCTAGAGTCGGACTCGACTGGCTTTCGAGCAAGGGAACCTTTACACTTTAAGGGTGTACAGGTGTTCTCTCCTTGAATGGGGTGCCTCTCTTTGTCTTAACCTGGGAGCTGCCCTCTGACCCCTCCTCCCTCCCTCCCTCCCTCCCTGCACTTTGTCCTCTCATTCCCCTCACATGGCCTTTCATGGAGATGTCTCTATGGGTCTTTCCCGTAGAGGCAATGCCCTAATAACTCACACATACATGATGCTCGAGAAAGCGGCATTTGTGACAGGGAAAGCACTCAGGCTTCTACCTCTCTTCTTTTGACTGCCGCCTGAATGTGAACTGGATCTGCATGAATAAACGTAAGGTTTTACCTTTTTTGCAATATCCTTCTTGGGAGATCTATTTACTGCACTCAGCCTCCCGCCTCTATGACTCGGCAGAACGATGCTGGATTAAACAAATATCCCAATTAGTCCAGCCCAAGCAAATGTTGGACTGGCGTGTTCAGGAATTGGTGGCAATGATCCCAGGCTCAACGCAACAGGGAGTTCTGCAAGAGCAAAGTCCCAGGGAAGAGTTTGCAGGTCATCTGCCTCTCCTCGACATCAGACCAGGTTGCAAAGTTTGAAAGCAAACAGGGAAGTTGTCTCCCGAAGAAGAAGAAGAAATTGGATTTATACCTCGCCCTTCCTACCTCTCAGAGCGGCTTACAGTCTCCTTTCCCTTCCCCTCCCCACAACAGACACCCTGTGAGGTAAAAGAAGAAGAAGAGATTGGATTTATACCCTGCCCTTCACTACCCAAAGGAGTCTCAGAGCGGCTCACAAACTCCTTTCCCTTCCCCTCCCCACAACAGACACCCTGTGAGGTAAAAGAAGAAGAAGAGATTGGACTTATACCCTGCCCTTCACTACTCAATGGTTTCTCAGAGCGTCTTACAGACTCCTTTCGCTTCACCTCCCCACAACAGATACCCTGTGAGGAATGTGAGACTGAGAGAGCTCTTTCGAGGACTCCCCTTGAGAGAGAACAGCTCTGAGAGAACTTGTGACTGACCCAAGGGCACACCAGCAGCTGTATGTGGGGGGGGGAGGAGTGGGGAATCAAACCCAGTCCTCCCAGATTATAGAGTCCGTGCTCTTAACCACGACACCAAACTGGCTCTCAAATTCGTTTTCAACATGCGTGACGCAGTGGTGTGGGCAGGGCTATTTTTGGGCAGGAACGCACAGGAACGGAGTTCCGGCTGGCTCTTGAGTTGGCCACGCCCAGCAGGAACTCATTAGCATAATAGGCCACACCCAACAGCAGAAACTCACCAGGAGTGTGTGGCCTAACATGCAAAGAAGTTCCTGCTACAAAAAAAGGCCCTGGGTTTTGACAACAAACAAGGTAAACAGAATAAGAAGCAAAAGGTTGGTGTGACTGGATGACCACACTTCTGGTAACATGGGGGTGCGGCCTAATATGCTAATGATTGGTGCTGTTAGGGGTGTGGCCTAATATGCTAATGAGTTCCTGCTGGGCTTTTTCTACAAAAAAAGCCCTGGGTGTGGGGGGTGGGTTTTTAAAAATGTCCATTATTTCATCAACAGCAGAACCAAAGTAAAGGAATGAAAAACCACAAAGCGGTTATAAAAATTACTAAAGAGCAAGAGTCCAGTAGCACCTTAAAGACTAACAAAATAAGTGAATAGGTAGGAGCTTTCATGAGCAGTGACTCACGAAAGACCCTAGCCTGCCACAAATTTTGTTGGTCTTCGAAGTGCTCCTGGACTCTTGCTGTTTTCTATGGCTACAGACAGACTAACGCCGCTACCCATGAAAGCCCTGCCACAGATTTTGTGAGTCTTTAAGGTTCTCCTGGACTCTTGCCCTTTTCTACTGCTAGAATGTGAGTCCATCTGTCCTTATATCTTGGAGAGTGGGATGA